TAGGCCCTGGTTTCTAAATTGGAGGCCAGTTACGCACCAGGAACCCTTCTTAGTATTTTCTTTCTCCGGGTCCACACCTGTCAGCAATATAAGGCCATGGACAGGATCTGTTTTGCTCCTCATTCTATTCCCGCAGTGTCTGGCTGTTGGGGGAAGAATAGAAAGGAGGTGGCTGCCAGTTGACCAGAGAGCTGGGACCCGGGCAATTGGAGGATCCTCACCCCCAACCATCCTTGGAATGTAAGTTCTGCTCACTCTTCGCACACTAGGAGCCTTTCAACGATGCAGACTTGAGAAAATAAGATGTTGAGACCATACACGTGACTGAACCCTGTTAAGGCCTCTGTAGAAACTTCAAGATTCTGGCCCTTGGGTTTTGAGATCTACTCCTCTAATGGCACCCAAGACAAGCCTCTAGGTAACTTCCCGTGATTGTTAACACTGCCACCTACCCAACTGGAGCAATCTGCCTCTTTCTTCTCTCTTCCTGCCCTCCATGGCTGGCGGGGGTGGGGGGGCTGGGGTCAGATGTAACCTGAGAGGCTCCCAAGTTTGTGAACCAACACTAGCGTCCTGACTGGTGAATACATACCAGGTCTTCCCCAAATATTTTCCGAAGGAAGAGCTGAATAAATTCTAGAACAAAGAACTGGGAGAGGTGTTTGGGAACACCTATGTGTTCCTGCCCAAGACCACAGATGTCATTTTAAATGGGCTAGAAAAGGAGAAACAGGTGAAATTTATTTTTATAGTATATTTTCTTTAACAAACGATATCCAAAATATTATCATTTTAACATGTAACTCATTTTAGAACTTGTAAATATGTTTTAAAAGATTTTCTTAGGGCCCAGCCAGCGTGGCTCAGTGGTTGAGCATGGACCTGTGAACCAGGAGGTCACGGTTCGATTCCCAGCCAGGGCACATGCCCAGGGTGCAGGCTCGATCCCCAGTGTGTGGCGAGCAGGAAGCAGCCAATCAATGATTCTCTCTCATCACTGATGTTTCTATCTCTCCCTCTCCCTTCCTCTCTGAAATCAATAAAAAAGCAGAGCGCTAGCCCCTGCACCCTCTGAGTCCTCTGGGAGCCTGCAGCACCCAAGCCGGCGCCGGCATCTGGCGGGCGCTTGTCAGGTTTGCTGGGTGGGAGGGAAGAGTAAAGGCAGACCCCGGGGCGGTGAGTATGCCAGCAGGTGTACACGCCCAGCACTCGCAGGAACTGGGCTCGATTCCAAGAAGAAAGCCTCCAGGCAGGAAGTTTGGCTGCGGGGCCAGGACGCGCAGCCCACTGGCTGCCCCAGGCGGGGGTCACCAACGTGCTCCG